AAATTTTGCAAATTTAATGTTAATGCAATATTTTTTACATTAAATTAATTTTTTTTTAATTTAATGTTAATGCAAAATTAATGGAAATCGCCCAGGTCTGATGTCAATAATAATGTTGAATTAAGTATGTATGTATCTAGGTTTGTATTTAAGTTTGTCTGTAAAGTTGCAACATTTGAGTGTTTCTTTCATTTTGTTGTCGTTTGTAATATTTTTTCATTTAACAATTTTTATTTGTTTGTTGATGATGATGTTATTTGATTGTAAGGCACTCCTTTTTTTTAATTAGGATTTTGGATTTGTTTTCAAATAATTTCCAGAGAGATATTGAATGATGTCAGAGAGCAACTATTGTCCTTGGTTATTGTATATTTATTTGTTTCTTTGTTTCTTTAATGATTTTCATAATAAATTCTTTTGGTTACGTTTTAAGTTTTTTTTTTTTTTTTTGATTTACTTTTTATGATTTCTAATGATTTGCTGATATTGGATTTGGGTTAATGGTATGGAATATGGATGTTTAATGAGGGGGTTGAGGGCGTTTGTTTTGGTTCTCAAAGTAAATTTAAAAAATACTTTAACATACGCTGTAGTTATGGAGCCGGACTAGGCGGAAGATGGGTGGTATAACCCATGCGATATTCAAATTGATCACTATCGGTAGTGGAAGAACTTAGAGTGGAAGAAGGATGATCTTTGCTAGATCTATAATTGCCGTGTGCATTAAATTCTGGTATATGTTGTTGCTGCTGGCGCCACAGCAATTCATTTTGTTTGACCGTGGAGGCATGTATCTTTTCGGGCCATTGAAATTCTAAATGTGAAGCAGTATTATTATGATCGGCATCGGCTACATTGGAAGTAGGACTACGTCCTGTTAGACGTGTTACATCAAACTCCTGAAATACCGATGAGTTTGCTACTACCGAACGTGTGAAACTGGCAGCCGCCGATGAGGCTGACGATGAACCTGAACCCGAATTTGTGGCTATAGAGGAAACTTGAAAAGTTTTGGGTGGTTTTGGTATCAATTGTGCATTATATGGTTTAGTTTTGGGTGGTGCTGCCCCAAAGTCATAAATTCTCTCTTCATATGGATACGTCTCTTCATAGGGATTAAGTTTATATGGTCTTTGTGAAGAAGAGGCAGCCATAGCCGATGATCTAGAAGATCGGGTGTAATTGTAATGTGGTGCCGATTTAATGCTAGCATTTGAACCATAAATTTTACTTTGTCTTTCGCCCTGAATCTCCACATCATGATCATCCTTTACAGAGACGGCAAATAGTTTACGATTAAAACCCGCCCGTCTGCGACGTTGATACAAAGAACCCGATCCACGGGAACGTATATCACATTCAGATCTAGCCATACTACGATCCATACTATGATCACTATCATCATCGGTGCTAGAAGAACTAGTAGCAACCTGAGGCATGGGATTATAGCTTAAGCGTCTTAATGTTCTAGCTCTGGCTGAACGCGACTTATAGGACATTGCTTTGGTTTTTTGAGAAACTTCCTCAGATTGTTTGGGTTTCTGTAGTAATTTACCATTTCTTTTCTCTGTTATTGCTGAATCACGATTAAGATTGTCGGTAAAAGACATGGAACGTTGTCGTTGTTCCTGATTGCCATTGTACGTATCATTTTGGGCTTCATCGATTCTCAATTGATTGGGAGAATAAATGCTAGTATTGCTTGTTTTGTGTACTGTCGTGATGGACCTAAAAGGTGACACCATATCATCACCATACTTAAAAATATCTGTCTTAAAATTAGCATAACAACCGGCACTACCTCCTAAGGAGGAGGGAGGAAAATTCAAATCCTTAGGACTGAAATAACTATCCTGGGGACTATAGCTAGACTTTTGGCTGCTGCGCCTTGACAATGAAATAGTATCTCTAGAAGCGAAACCGGTATCCGGTGTACTTGAACGTTTGTCCACCGAATTGGGTGAATTCTTATTCACCTGACCGCTCATCAATTGTAAGTGTTTGTCCAAATGATTGGTGGCTGCATTAAAATCAAATGTGGTCGTGGTAGTATGTTTGCCATTTTGATAATTATAAACTGTAGACGATTTTAAACTACCCGTAGCACTGCTGATTTCATCGTCTAACGATGACACAATACTCGAGAATTGATCATTTAAAATGGTCTCATCCGAGTCGTTTTTATCCACATCCGTGTAGGTGTGCATAAAATCCAAATTAAGAGCTTTTAAAGTATTTTCTATGTCCATAAGATTTTCGGACAAAGTCTTTTTATCTTTACGTGGACTTTGACTGATAGCATCTGTATACTCAAGCGAGGGTGGGGGTGTGGGTGCCGTAAATGAGGTACGACTACCAAATTGTAGGGGACGCGTAAGTATTTCACGCGATTTTTCAAAACAAAAATCTGAACTTTCTTTATCGAATAGCGGTATGCGTATATCGCAAGATGAAGTGGCTAATGTATTCATATCACTCGATATGGAACGAAAGCACTTTGATTAGAAGCATTAAATAATGTTTAAAATTTAACAAAATAAATAATAAAAGAAATTTAAGGAAATTAAATTAAAGAAGAAAGAAGTAGAAAAGTTAAGAATAAATTAATGGCTTTAATATAAAGTTTTATGTTTCAAATGTATTAAAACTGAAACTTGTTTTAATGTGACTTATTTCTAGAAGTGACCTAGAACTGAACTAGAACTAGAACTGAACTAGAATTAGAACTGAACTAGAATTGAACTAGAACTGAAGTATAACTGAACTAGAACTGAACTAGATCTGAACTAGAACTAGAACTGAACTAGAATTGAACTAGAACTGAAGTATAACTGAACTAGAACTGAACTAGATCTGAACTAGAACTGAACTAGAACTGAACTAGAACTGAACTAGAACTGAACTAGAACTGAACTAGAACTGAACTAGAACTGAACTAGAACTGAACTAGAACTGAACTAGAACTGAACTAGAACTGAACTAGAACTGAACTAGAACTGAACTAGAACTGAACTAGAACTGAACTAGAACTGAACTAGAACTGAACTAGAAGAACTAGAACTGAACTAGAACTGAACTAGAACTGAACTAGAACTGAACTAGAACTGAACTAGAACTGAACTAGAACTGAACTAGAACTGAACTAGAACTGAACTAGAACGAGAACTAGAACTGAACTAGAACTGAACTAGAACTGAACTAGAACTGAACTAGAACTGAACTAGAACTGAACTAGAACTGAACTAGAACTGAACTAAACTGAACTAGAACTGAAATAGAACTGAACTAGAACTGAACTAGAACTGAACTAGAACTGAACTAGAACTGAACTGAACTAGAAGAACTAGAACTGAACTAGAACTGAACTAGAACTGAACTAGAACTGAACTAGAACTGAACTAGAACTGAACTAGAACTGAACTAGAACTGAACTAGAACTGAACTAGAACTGAACTAGAACTGAACTAGAAACTGAACTAGAACTGAACTAGAACTAGAACTAGAACTGAACTAGAACTAGAACTGAACTAAACTGAACTAGAACTGAACTAGAACTGAACTAGAACTGAACTAGAACTGAACTAGAACTGAACTAGAACTGAACTAGAGAACTGAACTAGAACTATGAACTAGAACTGAACTAGAACTGAACTAGAACTGAATTAGAACTGAACTAGAACAAGAACTGAACTAGAACTGAACTAGAACTGAACTAGAACTGAACTAGAACTGAACTAGAACTGAACTAGAACTGAACTAGAACTGAACTAGAACTGAACTAGAACTGAACTAGAACTGAACTAGAACTGAACTAGAACTGAACTAGAACTGAACTAGAACTGAACTAGAACTGAACTAGAACTGAACTAGAACTGAACTAGAACTGAACTAGAACTGAACTAGAACTGAACTAGAACTGAACTAGAACTGAACTAGAACTGAACTAGAACTGAACTAGAACTGAACTAGAACTGAACTAGAACTGAACTAGAACTGACTAGAACTGAACTAGAACTGAACTAGAACTGAACTAGAACTGAACTAGAACTGAACTAGAACTGAACTAGAACTGAACTAGAACTGAACTAGAACTGAACTAGAACTGAACTAGAACTGAACTAGAACTGAACTAGAACTGAACTAGAACTGAACTAGAACTGAACTAGAACTGAACTAGAACTGAACTAGAACTGAACTAGAACTGAACTAGAACTGAACTAGAACTGAACTAGAAACTGAACTAGAACTGAACTAGAACTGAACTAGAACTGAACTAGAACTGAACTAGAACTGAACTAGAACTGAACTAGAACTGAACTAGAACTGAACTAGAACTGAACTAGAACTGAACTAGAACTGAACTAGAACTGAACTAGAACTGAACTAGAACTGAACTAGAACTGAACTAGAACTGAACTAGAACTGAACTAGAACTGAACTAGAACTGAACTAGAACTGAACTAGAACTGAACTAGAACTGAACTAGAACTGAACTAGAACTGAACTAGAACTGAACTAGAACTGAACTAGAACTGAACTAGAACTGAACTAGAACTGAACTAGAACTGAACTAGAACTGAACTAGAACTGAACTAGAACTGAACTAGAACTGAACTAGAACTGAACTAGAACTGAACTAGAACTGAACTAGAACTGAACTAGAACTGAACTAGAACTGAACTAGAACTGAACTAGAACTGAACTAGAACTGAACTAGAACTGAACTAGAACTGAACTAGAACTGAACTAGAACTGAACTAGAACTGAACTAGAACTGAACTAGAACTGAACTAGAACTGAACTAGAACTGAACTAGAACTGAACTAGAACTGAACTAGAACTGAACTAGAACTGAACTAGAACTGAACTAGAACTGAACTAAAACCGAAATACAACTAACAAGAACTGAAATAGACTTAGAGGTCGGAAATTTTTCTTTAGTAAAACAAGTTAAGTTTTAAATATTTCACAAATAACATTATCGATTAAACTGGTCTTACCTGTAAGTCTGGTATGCTTTTAAGTTCCTCCGTAAATTCTTCTTTTTCGAATGAGGAGACAATGAATTCATATGAGTAGTAGAGCCACCTGTGCCGCTGGTAGCGGACATTCCACTGCCATGAGATTATCGCTACTTCCATGACCACTTAGATGAGGAAAACGGAAACTAAATTTACGTTTGGGGCTTTGAGTAGAGGGTGTTGGATCAGAAACCAAATCACACATGGATCTTAGACATGCAAAGATATACATTATATAAAATAACTCATTATTTGATAAACTAACTTACCTAGCACTTATTTCATTTGCTATTTCTATGGCATGATTAAGAATCTTTTCATCCTTTACTGAAATTTGCTTAACAGTGCCACAAGAATTTTTCGATTTTTTCGAACTGTTACCGCCTGCACTATTCTTACGTATTAGTTTAGAAGTTAAATCAGAAAAATCTGAACGTTTAGCAGTCGCATTATGCGACTCAGATTCGGAGTTTTTTGACGATGAGGTGTAGCAGACATGGAACCAAACATGGAATTGATTTCATCTAACAGAGATGGTCCAAAATCTAATTTGTCTGGTGTAATTTCATCATCATCGGATATCATGATATTCATGAGGTTCTTCAAACGTAAACACCGCTTCCTCCGGTAGCGCCACTACCATTTGTAATGGACGAATGCCGCCACAGTAAATTATCTTTACCTCTATCAATGCCATAGTTGTTGTTTTGAAGGGCCATTGTACTGTCGTCGATCGTTTTGTGCGTAAATGGATTTGTATTGTGTGTGGGAAATTCGAATGTGGTGCCTGTTTGACCGTATTGGCAAAATGTTTTGGTGTATTTTCAGTCGAGGGTACGAAAGAAGGATTCATTGTGGAATTATTATTGAGCAGAATCGTCAGCAAAATAACCACTGGCAGTTTGCAATGAATCCGGACTAGTTGGGGTGGGCGGGTAGGAGTAGAGGCGTTTGTTCAATATCCTCTGAAGGTTTATGGGGGTAACAATTTGTCGTGGCACATGGTTATACTATAATAAGAATTGTTACTTAATAATTATTTTTTAAATTATTGTGAATAAAAATAACTTACATTTTGTGTTGTACCCAAAAATGCAATATCACCAAAGGAAGCTCCGTCTATGCCAACATGGCCGGTATGTTTAAAATCATTTTGAGGTTTCGATATCATTTCAGTTCTTAATTTACGTTTGCTACAACGTTCGTTAGCATTACGACTGAAGGAATCTCTGCAAATGATTTTGTTATTTAACAGATTTTATTTTATTGTTGTTATTTTTTCTCACCTGTTCAAAGTTGGAAGACCTTCGACATATGCTACTGTATTTGAAGGATTAAAAACCCTGTTTTGCCCGTATTCAAAACACCTTTCCAATATGGTGTGCCCGTGTTGCGATCCAATACCGTGATTATATCATTCTGTCGATAAACCAAATGTTCTTTAGTTTTCGCTTCTAAGCAGTTGGCCACTGCCTTGAGTTGTTCGGGTTTCATGTCGGGCAACATTTCATAAATTTCAGAAAATTTTGGTCGTTTACTAGGATCATCTTGCCAGCATTTCATCATCAAAGTATAGTACTCTCTGGGACAACATTCGGGTTGTTCTAGACGCTAATTAAGAAATCATTATTTGGTTAAGATTTATAGAAATCAACTGATATAGAATATAGAACTGAACTGAACTGAACTAGAACTGAACTAGAACTGAACTAGAACTGAACTAGAACTGAACTAGAACTGAACTAGAACTGAACTAGAACTGAACTAGAACTGAACTAGAACTGAACTAGAACTGAACTAGAACTGAACTAGAACTGAACTAGAACTGAACTAGAACTGAACTAGAACTGAACTAGAACTGAACTAGAACTGAACTAGAACTGAACTAGAACTGAACTAGAACTGAACTAGAACTGAACTAGAACTGAACTAGAACTGAACTAAACTGAACTAGAACTGAACTAGAACTGAACTAGAACTGAACTAGAACTGAACTAGAACTGAACTAGAACTGAACTAGAACTGAACTAGAACCGAACTAGAACTGAACTAGAACTGAACTAGAACTGAACTAGAACTGAACTAGAACTGAACTAGAACTGAACTAGAACTGAACTAGAACTGAACTAGAACTGAACTAGAACTGAACTAGAACTGAACTAGAACTGAACTGAACTGAAGCTAGAACTGAACTAGAACTGAACTAGAACTGAACTAGAACTGAACTAGAACTGAACTAGAACTGAACTAGAACTGAACTAGAACTGAACTAGAACTGAACTAGAACTGAACTAGAACTGAACTAGAACTGAACTAAAACTGAACTAGAACTGAACTAGAACTGAACTAGAACTGAACTAGAACTGAACTAGAACTGAACTAGAACTGAACTAGAACTGAACTAGAACTGAACTAGAACTGAACTAGAACTGAACTAGAACTGAACTAGACTGAACTAGAACTGAACTAGAACTGAACTAGAACTGAACTAAAACTGAACTAGAACTGAACTAGAACTGAACTAGAACTGAACTAGAACTGAACTAGAACTGAACTAGAACTGAACTAGAACTGAACTAGAACTGAACTAGAACTGAACTAGAACTGAACTAGAACTGAACTAGAACTGAACTAGAACTGAACTAGAACTGAACTAGAACTGAACTAGAACTGAACTAGAACTGAACTAGAACTGAACTAGAACTGAACTAGAACTGAACTAGAACTGAACTAGAACTGAACTAGAACTGAACTAGAACTGAACTAGAACTGAACTAGAACTGAATTAGAACTGAACTAGAACTGAACTAGAACTGAAATAGAACTGAACTAGAACTGAACTAGAACTGAACTAGAACTGAACTAGAACTGAACTAGAACTGAACTAGAACTGAACTAGAACTGAACTAGAACTGAACTAGAACTGAACTAGAACTGAACTAGAACTGAACTAGAACTGAACTAGAACTGAACTAGAACTGAACTAGAACTGAACTAGAACTGAACTAGAACTGAACTAGAACTGAACTAGAACTGAACTAGAACTGAACTAGAACTGAACTAGAACTGAACTAGAACTGAACTAGAACTGAACTAAAACTGAACTAGAACTGAACTAGAACTGAACTAGAACTGAACTAGAACCGAACTAGAACTGAACTAGAACTGAACTAGAACTGAACTAGAACTGAACTAGAACTGAACTAGAACCGAACTAGAACTGAACTAGAACTGAACTAGAACTGAACTAGAACTGAACTAGAACTGAACTAGAACTGAACTAGAACTGAGCTAGAACTGAACTAGAACTGAACTAAAACTGAACTAGAACTGAACTAGAACTGAACTAGAACTGAACTAGAACTGAACTAGAACTGAACTAGAACTGAACTAGAACTGAACTAGAACTGAACTAGAACTGAACTAGAACTGAACTAGAACTGAACTAGAACTAGAACTGAACTAGAACTGAACTAGAACTGAACTAGAACTGAACTAGAACTAGAACTGAACTAGAACTGAACTAGAACTGAACTAGAACTGAACTAGAACTGAACTAGAACTGAACTAGAACTGAACTAGAACTGAACTAGAACTGAACTAGAACTGAACTAGAACTGAACTAGAACTGAACTAGAACTGAACTAGAACTGAACTAGAACTGAACTAGAACTGAACTAGAACTGAACTAGAACTGAACTAGAACTGAACTAGAACTGAACTAGAACTGAACTAGAACTGAACTAGAACTGAACTAGAACTGAACTAGAACTGAACTAGAACTGAACTAGAACTGAACTAGAACTGAACTAGAACTGAACTAGAACTGAACTAGAACTGAACTAGAACTGAACTAGAACTGAACTAGAACTGAACTAGAACTGAACTAGAACTGAACTAGAACTGAACTAGAACTGACTGAACTGAACTAGAACTGAACTAGAACTGAACTAGAACTGAACTAAAACTGAACTAGAACTGAACTAGAACTGAACTAGAACTGAACTAGAACTGAACTAGAACTGAACTAGAACTGAACTAGAACTGAACTAGAACTGAACTAGAACTGAACTAGAACTGAACTAGAACTGAACTAGAACTGAACTAGAACTGAACTAGAACTGAACTAGAACTGAACTAGAACTGAACTAGAACTGAACTAGAACTGAACTAGAACTGAACTAGAACTGAACTAGAACTGAACTAGAACTGAACTAGAACTGAACTAGAACTGAACTAGAACTGAACTAGAACTGAACTAGAACTGAACTAGAACTGAACTAAACTGAACGAAACTGAACTAGAACTGAACTAGAACTGAACTAGAACTGAACTAGAACTGAACTAGAACTGAACTAGAACTGAACTAGAACTGAACTAGAACTGAACTAGAACTGAACTAGAACTGAACTAGAACTGAACTAGAACTGAACTAGAACTGAACTAGAACTGAATTAGAACTGAACTAGAACTGAACTAGAACTGAAATAGAACTGAACTAGAACTGAACTAGAACTGAACTAGAACTGAACTAGAACTGAACTAGAACTGAACTAGAACTGAACTAGAACTGAACTAGAACTGAACTAGAACTGAACTAGAACTGAACTAGAACTGAACTAGAACTGAACTAGAACTGAACTAGAACTGAACTAGAACTGAACTAGAACTGAACTAGAACTGAACTAGAACTGAACTAGAACTGAACTAGAACTGAACTAGAACTGAACTAGAACTGAACTAGAACTGAACTAGAACTGAACTAGAACTGAACTAGAACTGAACTAGAATTGAACTAGAACTGAACTAGAACTGAACTAGAACTGAACTAGAACTGAACTAGAACTGAACTAGAACTGAACTAGAACTGAACTAGAACTGAACTAGAACTGAACTAGAACTGAACTAGAACTGAACTAGAACTAGAACTGAACTAGAACTGAACTAGAACTAGAACTGAACTAGAACTGAACTAGAACTGAACTAGAACTGAACTAGAACTGAACTAGAACTGAACTAACTAGAACTGAACTAGAACTGAACTAGAACTGAACTAGAACTGAACTAGAACTGAACTAGAACTGAACTAGAACTGAACTAGAACTGAACTAGAACTGAACTAGAACTGAACTAGAACTGAACTAGAACTGAACTAGAACTGAACTAGAATTGAACTAGAATTGAACTAGAACTGAACTAGAACTGAATTAGAACTGAACTAGAACTGAACTAGAACTGAACTAGAACTGAACTAGAACTGAACTAGAACTTAACTAGAACTGAACTAGAACTGAACTAGTACGGAACTAGAACTGAATTATTAGATTAATTAGAATTTATAAAATTTTTAAACCCACCTGATAATTAGGAGCATCAATAGCTTCCAATATTTGTAGACCTGTTAAAGCAGCCCAAGGTTGAAACCCGTATGAGAACATTTCCCACAAACAAACACCAAAAGCCCACACATCTGAGGCATTGGTGAAGCGCAAGTAATTTATACATTCTGGAGCACACCAGGCAATGGGCAATTTTAGATTGACATTGAAATTGGTCTTGTAATAATCTTTGCCCACACCCAAAGCACGTGACAAACCAAAATCAGATATTTTTACTTTATTTTTGCTAAAAACTAAAATATTACGAGCTGCCAAATCTCTGCAATAAAAAAAAACTAAATTTTAAAGCTATTCCATTAGATTTATACTCAGAAGCATTACCTGTGTATCAAACGTTTATTTTCCAAATAACGCATGCCATTGCAAATTTGTAAACCAAATTCACACAAAGTGGGCACCGTCAAAAAACTTACTCTCAAACCGGGATCTTTTAAACACTCCAGCAATGAACGTAAATGAGCCAATTCGGTGACCAACATTAGGGAATCGGTAGCCAAGACCACACCATATAAACGCACTATGTTTTCATGTTCAATGGAATGCATAATGGCGGCTTCTTTTAAAAATTCCATGGGATTCGATTGCATACGTTCGCGACAAAGACATTTTATGGCAACTTGTATCTAATACGTACAAACAGGTAAATAACAATAAACTAGACAATAAATTCAACACTCACCCTTTCCGAGCCATTAGTCCACACACCCTGTTGCACTATACCAAATTCTCCAGTGCCCAATTGTTTATTAACACTTATGGCATCGGCCGGTATGATGTGTTTATTGTTTGGTGCTTTACTGGGCGAACTGCTAGTCTTTGATGTAGGACCTGTTGCCGTACCACTTAAACTGCCCGAAGGACTGGCAGCTGTTGTACTTGTAACACTACCCGTCATTTCATCTTTCTTCACCATTGAGGTGGGGGCATGCAGCAGGCGTTTTATTTTACTCAAATAACCATGAGGGAAATATTTTTCATAGAATTTACGTAAACGCCGGATTTCCGGTCTTGACATACCAATACTTTTGAGATCTTCATCGGTGGCATATTTGAATTGTGAAGCATTAGTTATCTTAAGTTCATCTCTGTGGGATTGAGCCAGTTTAAATGTGTGTGTGCGTGTGTGTGTGAATGGGTACGATGTATAAATGATTGATTGAATGGTTGATGCGAAGAAGAATAAAGAAAATGCAAAACAGTAATTTATTAATAAAATCAACAATAATAAAAAAGTAGACAGATTTGCGGCAGACAAGTAAAAGTGTTTTCATTTGATTTAGCAAACACGGATTTTGCGTTTCTTTGTTTTGTGATAAAGCGTAAATGTAGGATGTAAATGGAAATGAAACAATATAAATAATTTTTATATTTATATTATCAAGCAAATAACCTTTTTTTCTTTAAGTTATTTCCACAATAAAGAGTTAAAGTGATAGGGGAATACAAAGTGCGGAAATTCTGCTGTCAACGAGCCAATTCTTTTGTCAAAATACGAAGTAGAGGATGTCTATTTGTCAAATAAACCATGAATGGAGTAATCAGTCATAAATCACGATACGATTAATCTGGGTGGATTCGGTTCGATGGAAAATCAAACTAACTAACTAACTAACTAACTAACTACTAACTAACTAACTAACTACTAACTAACTAACTAACTAACTAACTAACTAACTACCTAACTAACTAACTAACTAACTAACTAACTAACTAACTAACTAACTAACTAACTACTACTAACTAACTAACTAACTACTAACTACTAACTAACTAACTACTAACTAACTAACTAACTAACTAACTAACTAACTAACTAACTAACTAACTAACTAACTAACTAACTAACTACTAACTAACTAACTACTAACTAACTAACTACTAACTACTAACTAACTAACTAACTAACTAACTAACTAACTAACTAACTAACTAACTAACTAACTAACTAACTAACTAACTAACTAACTAACTAACTAACTAACTAACTAACTAACTAACTAACTAACTAACTAACTAACTACTAACTAACTAACTAACTAACTAACTAACTAACTAACTAACTAACTAACTAACTAACTAACTAACTAACTAACTAACTAACTAACTAACTAACTAACTAACTAACTACTAACTAACTAACTAACTAACTAACTAACTAACTAACTAACTAACTAACTAACTAACTAACTAACTAACTAACTAACTAACTAACTAACTAACTAACTACTAACTAACTAACTAACTAACTAACTAACTAACTAACTAACTAACTAACTAACTAACTAACTAACTAACTAACTAACTAACTAACTAACTAACTAACTAACTAACTAACTAACTAACTAACTAACTAACTAACTAACTAACTAACTAACTAACTAACTAACTAACTAACTAACTAACTAACTAACTAACTACTAACTAACTAACTAACTAACTAACTAACTAACTAACTAACTAACTAACTAACTAACTAACTAACTACTAACTAACTAACTAACTAACTAACTAACTAACTAACTAACTAACTAACTAACTAACTAACTAACTAACTAACTAACTAACTAACTAACTAACTAACTAACTAACTAACTAACTAACTAACTAACTACTAACTAACTAACTAACTAACTAACTAACTAACTAACTAACTAACTAACTAACTAACTAACTAACTAACTAACTAACTAACTAACTAACTAACTAACTAACTAACTAACTAACTAACTAACTAACTACTAACTAACTAACTAACTAACTAACTACTAACTAACTAACTAACTAACTAACTAACTAACTAACTAACTAACTAACTAACTAACTAACTAACTAACTAACTAACTAACTAACTACTAACTAACTAACTAACTACTAACTAACTAACTAACTAACTAACTACTAACTAACTAACTAACTAACTACTAACTAACTAACTACTAACTAACTACTAACTAACTAACTAACTAACTAACTAACTAACTAACTACTAACTAACTAACTAACTACTAACTAACTAACTAACTAACTACTAACTAACTAACTAACTAACTAACTAACTAACTACTAACTAACTAACTAACTAACTAACTAACTAACTAACTAACTAACTAACTAACTAACTAACTAACTAACTAACTAACTAACTAACTAACTACTAACTAACTAACTAACTAACTAACTAACTAACTAACTAACTAACTAACTAACTAACTAACTACTAACTAACTAACTAACTAACTACTAACTAACTACTAACTAACTAACTAACTAACTAACTAACTAACTAACTAACTAACTACTAACTAACTAACTAACTAACTAACTAACTAACTAACTAACTACTAACTAACTACTAACTAACTAACTAACTAACTAACTAACTAACTAACTAACTAACTAACTAACTAACTAACTAACTAACTACTAACTAACTAACTACTAACTAACTAACTAACTAACTAACTAACTAACTAACTAACTAACTAACTAACTAACTAACTAACTAACTAACTAACTAACTACTAACTAACTAACTAACTAACTAACTAACTAACTAACTAACTAACTAACTAACTAACTAACTAACTAACTAACTAACTAACTAACTAACTAACTACTAACTAACTAACTAACTAACTAACTAACTAACTAACTAACTAACTAACTAACTAACTAACTAACTAACTAACTAACTAACTAACTAACTAACTAACTAACTAACTAACTAACTAACTAACTACTAACTAACTAACTAACTAACTAACTAACTAACTACTAACTAACTAACTAACTAACTAACTAACTAACTAACTAACTAACTAACTAACTAACTAACTAACTAACTAACTAACTAACTAACTACTAACTAACTAACTAACTAACTAACTAACTAACTAACTAACTAACTAACTAACTAACTAACTAACTAACTAACTAACTACTAACTAACTAACTAACTAACTAACTAACTAACTAACTAACTAACTAACTAACTAACTAACTAACTAACTAACTAACTAACTAACTAACTAACTAACTAACTAACTAACTAACTAACTAACTAACTAACTAACTAACTAACTAACTAACTAACTAACTAACTAACTACTAACTAACTAACTAACTAACTAACTAACTAACTAACTAACTAACTAACTAACTAACTAACTAACTAACTAACTAACTAACTAACTAACTAACTAACTAACTAACTAACTAACTAACTAACTAACTAACTAACTAACTAACTAACTAACTAACTAACTAACTAACTAACTAACTAACTAACTAACTAACTACTAACTAACTAACTAACTAACTAACTAACTAACTAACTAACTAACTAACTAACTAACTAACTAACTAACTAACTAACTAACTAACTAACTAACTAACTAACTAACTAACTAACTAACTAACTAACTAACTAACTAACTAACTAACTACTAACTAACTAACTAACTAACTAACTAACTAACTACTAACTAACTAACTAACTAACTAACTAACTAACTAACTAACTAACTAACTAACTAACTAACTAACTAACTAACTAACTAACTACTAACTAACTAACTAACTAACTAACTAACTAACTAACTACTAACTAACTAACTAACTAACTAACTAACTAACTAACTAACTAACTAACTAACTAACTAACTAACTAACTAACTAACTAACTAACTAACTACTAACTAACTAACTAACTAACTAACTAACTAACTAACTAACTAACTAACTAACTAACTAACTAACTAACTAACTAACTAACTAACTAACTAACTAACTACTAACTAACTAACTAACTAACTAACTAACTAACTAACTAACTAACTAACTAACTAACTAACTAACTAACTAACTAACTACTAACTAACTAACTAACTAACTAACTAACTAACTAACTAACTAACTAACTAACTAACTAACTAACTAACTAACTAACTAACTAACTAACTAACTAACTAACTAACTAACTAACTAACTAACTAACTAACTAACTAACTAACTAACTAACTAACTAACTAACTAACTAACTAACTACTAACTAACTAACTAACTAACTAACTACTAACTAACTAACTAACTAACTAACTAACTAACTAACTAACTAACTAACTAACTAACTAACTAACTAACTAACTAACTAACTAACTACTACTAACTAACTAACTAACTAACTAACTAACTAACTAACTAACTAACTAACTAACTAACTAACTAACTAACTAACTAACTAACTAACTAACTAACTAACTAACTAACTAACTAACTAACTAACTAACTACTAACTAACTAACTAACTAACTAACTAACTAACTAACTAACTAACTAACTAACTAACTAACTAACTAACTAACTAACTAACTAACTAACTAACTAACTAACTAACTAACTAACTAACTAACTAACTAACTAACTAACTAACTACTAACTAACTAACTACTAACTAACTAACTAACTAACTAACTAACTAACTAACTAACTAACTAACTAACTAACTAACTAACTAACTAACTAACTAACTAACTAACTAACTAACTAACTAACTAACTAACTAACTAACTACTAACTAACTAACTAACTAACTAACTAACTAACTACTAACTAACTAACTAACTAACTAACTAACTAACTAACTAACTAACTAACTAACTAACTAACTAACTAACTAACTAACTAACTAACTAACTACTAACTAACTAACTAACTAACTACTAACTAACTAACTAACTAACTAACTAACTAACTAACTAACTAACTAACTAACTAACTAACTAACTAACTAACTAACTAACTAACTAACTAACTAACTAACTAACTAACTAACTACTAACTAACTAACTAACTAACTAACTAACTAACTAACTAACTAACTACTAACTAACTAACTAACTAACTAACTACTAACTAACTAACTAACTAACTAACTAACTAACTAACTAACTAACTAACTAACTAACTAACTAACTAACTAACTAACTAACTACTAACTAACTAACTAACTAACTAACTAACTAACTAACTAACTAACTAACTACTAACTAACTAACTAACTAACTAACTAACTAACTAACTACTAACTAACTAACTACTAACTAACTACTACTAACTAACTACTAACTAACTAACTAACTAACTAACTAACTAACTACTAACTAACTACCTAACTACTAACTAACTAACTAACTAACTAACTAACTAACTACTAACTAACTAACTAACTACTAACTAACTAACTAACTAACTAACTAACTAACTACTAACTAACTAACTAACTAACTAACTAACTAACTAACTAACTAACTAACTAACTAACTAACTAACTAACTAACTAACTAACTAACTAACTAACTAACTACTAACTAACTAACTAACTAACTAACTAACTAACTACTACTAACTAACTAACTAACTAACTAACTAACTACTAACTAACTAACTAACTAACTAACTAACTAACTAACTAACTAACTAACTAACTAACTAACTAACTACTAACTAACTAACTAACTACTAACTACTAACTAACTAACTAACTAACTAACTAACTAACTAACTAACTAACTAACTAACTACTAACTAACTAACTAACTAACTAACTAACTAACTAACTAACTAACTAACTAACACTAACTAACTAACTAACTAACTAACTAACTACACTAACTAACTAACTAACTAACTAACTAACTAACTAACTAACTACTAACTACTAACTACTAACTAACTAACTAACTAACCTAACTAACTAACTAACTAACTAACTAACTAACTACTAACTAACTAACTAACCTACTAACTAACTAACTACTAACTAACTAACTAACTAACTACTAACTAACTAACTAACTAACTAACTAACTAACATAACTAACTACTAACTAACTAACTAACTAACTACTAACTAACTAACTAACTAACTAACTAACTAACTACTACTAACTACATAACTAACTAACTAACTAACTAACTAACTAACTAACTAACTAACTAACTAACTAACTACTAACTAACTAGCTAACTAACTAACTAACTAACTAACTAACTAACTAACTAACTACTAACTAACTAACTAACTAACTAACTAACTAACTACTAACTAACTAACTAACTAACTAACTAACTACTACTAACTAACTAACTACTAACTACTAACTAACTAACTAACTAACTAACTACTACTAACTAACTAACTAACTAACTAACTAACTAACTACTACTAACTAACTAACTACTAACTAACTAACTACTACAACTAACTAACTAACTAACTAACTAACTACTAACAACTCTAACTAACTAACTAACTAACTAACTAACTACTAACTAACTACTAACTACTACCTAACTAACTAACTAACTAACTAACTAACTACTAACTAACTACTAACTAACTAACTAACTAACTAACTAACTAACAACTACTAACTAACTAACTAACTAACTAACTAACTACTACTAACTAACTAACTAACTAACTAACTAACTAACTAACTACTAACTACTAACTAACTAACTAACTAACTAACTACTAACTAACTAACTAACTAACTACTAACTAACTAACTAACTAACTAACTACTAACTACTAACTAACTAACTAACTAACTAACTACTACTAACTACTACTAACTAACTAATTACTAACTAACTAACTAACTACTAACTAACTAACCTAACTAACTAACTAACTAACTAACTACTAACTAACTACTAACTAACTAACTAACTAACTAACTACTAACTAACTAACTACTAACTAACTAACTAACTAACTAACTAACTAACTAACTAACTAACTACTCAACTAACTAACTAACGAACTAACTACTAACTAACTAACTAACTAACTAACTAACTAACTAACTAGCTAACTAACTACTAACTAACTAACTACTAACTAACTACTAACTCAGCTAACTACTACTAACTAACCTAACTAACGAACTAACTACTAACTAACTACTAACTAACTACTAACTAACTAACTACTACTAACTAACTAACTACTAACTAACTAACCTAACTAACTAACTAACTAACTAACTAACATACTACTAACTAACTCACTAACTAACAACATAACTAAACTACTACTAACTAACTAACTAACTAACTACCTAACCTAACTACTACTAACTAACTAACTAAGCTAACTAACTATCTCTAACTCAATAACTAATTGCAAGCTTGTTGCTTTAAAGACCCCCCGCAACAAAAGAAAGACGTGAGCGATTTAGTTCTCGAAAGACCTACTTTCAGTAAGCTTTCCTCCGATAGTTTAGATTCGAGAACTCTTTTAAATAAACCAATATTTTTTAAATTTGATAGATAAGTTGAATGGATTCAAGACAGAAATTTAAATCAGCTTCATTTTAAATAAATAATTCTTTATAAAGAATCCTAACACTCAAGGTCAATGTAAATAAATTTTTGAAATAAATCTATAAAAATATGAAGGAGTTACATTCATACTATATAAATATTTCATATATACACATTTAAAACTTTCCCCATATGTCTAAAACAATCAAATAAAATTTATGTATATACACCCTCTTGGACCATAAAGAATTCAATCGTTTGAACAATATAAAATATGAAACATGTGTATATATTGATAAATACATGAATACATTTCTTTGGAAATGCGTAAATTGTGTGGGTGACTAAGACATGCGATTCCAATCTTCTCTGTCTCTGCTGCAAGACATTAACATTCATCTCTACTTCAAATACTTACTTGACAGCATTGTAATAATGTTGCAGTTCGGCCTCCGTTAGAAATTCATACAAATCGATTTGGGGACAATCTGTAAAAAAGAGGAAATGTGTGGTTAAAAAAACATTGTAACATTTAAATAAAATAGCTTCCAAAAACACAAAAAAGTGGAAAGTAAAATAGAAAAAAAACAGCACTTAAAAATAGATACACTGTTGCAACTATTATGGTTTGGAGTTTTTTTTTTGGAGGGCACCAAAACCAAACCAAAAAAAAAAAAAAACAATATTGACTCTGACATGAATTGTACTTTACTTCGTACTCGTACATAATGTGGGTTACTAATAAAAAAAAAAACTAGCGAACTAAAATAAAACTATGATTTTAAATCAGGCCAATATATGTATAGTTTTTGTATGTAGAGCAGAGCAACAGAGTGAAAAAACTTTGTTGCATATAATGATTTATGAAGGTGATTACAACAATTATTAGGCTGCACTGGGAGCTGCAATAGTGCAATAGAAGGTAACCTATTTAAATTAGACAAAAAAACACAGTTCGATGTAATTTATTTATAGGTATACAAAGTTGAGCTTAACATAATGCATATTTTATTACTATGTATGACTAACATTAAAAAAACTGTTATCTGTTCTCTCTTGAAATCATAATCAAATTAATGATTAAACATTTAGCTACATATTCATAAACAAAATATTATTTTATAAACTTTCGATGAATAATTCCTTTTAATGTTTATTCAGTTTTAAAAATAACATGATTTCAATTCAACGTGTGGTCCTGATAACATTGTGTAAGAGTTAGTAACAAAAGAGTTGCTTAAATTTTATTCAGCATTTGACAGTTTACAAATTATTTAGTAGATTACAAGCAAGCAAAAATGTAAAAAATACAATTTTAAAATGTTATTTACATACTATGATCTTCAGAATCATATTTTTCGAAACTCTCTTTGAGCACAAAAAAGCCATGAAATTTTTTTCAGTTCTAGTTCTGTTCTAGTTCAGTCTACTAGTTAAGGGTTCTAGTTCAGTTCTAGTTCAGTTCTAGTTTCAGTTCTAGTTCAGTTCTAGTTCAGTTCTAGTTCCAGTTCTAATCAGTTTCTAGTTCAGTTCTAGTTCAGTTCTAGTCAGTTCTAGTTTCAGTTCTAGTTCAGTTCCTAGTTTCAGTTCTAGTTTCCAGTTCTAGTTCAGTTCTAGTTCAGTTTTCTAGTTCATGTTCTTAGTCAGTTTCTAGTTCAGTTCTAGTTCAGTTCTAGTTCAGTTCTAGTTCAGTTCTAGTTCAGTTCTAGTTCAGTTCTAGTTCAGTTCTAGTTCAGTTCTAGTTCATTCTAGTTCAGTTCTAGTTCAGTTCTAGTTCAGTTCTAGTTCAGTTCTAGTTCAGTTCTAGTTCAGTTCTAGTTCAGTTCTAGTTCAGTTCTAGTTCAGTCTAGTTCAGTTCTAGTTTCAGTTCTAGTTCAGTTCTAGTTCAGTTCTAGTTCAGTTCTAGTTCAGTTCTAGTTCAGTTCTAGTTCAGTTCTAGTTCCAGTTCTAGTTCAGTTCTAGTTCAGTTTCTAGTTCAGTTCTAGTTCAGTTCTAGTTCAGTTCTAGTTCAGTTCTAGTTCAGTTCTAGTTCAGTTCTAGTTCAGTTCTAGTTCAGTTCTAGTTCAGTTCTAGTTCATTTCTAGTTCAGTTCTAGTTCTAGTTCAGTTCTAGTTCAGTTCTAGTTCAGTTCTAGTTTCAGTTCTAGTTCAGTTCTAGTTTCAGTTCTAGTTCAGTTCTAGTTCAGTTCTAGTTCAGTTTCTAGTCAGTTCAGTTCTAGTTCAGTTCTAGTTCAGTTCTAGTTCAGTTCTAGTTCAGTTCTAGTTCAGTTCTAGTTCAGTTCTAGTTCAGTTCTAGTTCAGTTCTAGTTCAGTTCTAGTTCAGTTCTAGTTCAGTTCTAGTTCAGTTCTAGTTCAGTTCTAGTTCAGTTCTAGTTCAGTTCTAGTTCAGTTCTAGTTCAGTTCTAGTTCAGTTCTAGTTCAGTTCTAGTTCAGTTCTAGTTCAGTTCTAGTTCAGTTCTAGTTCAGTTCTAGTTCAGTTCTAGTTCAGTTCTAGTTCAGTTCTAGTTCAGTTCTAGTTCAGTTCTAGTTCAGTTCCAGTTCAGTTCTAGTTCAGTTCTAGTTCAGTTCTAGTTTAGTTCTAGTTCAGTTCTAGTTCAGTTCTAGTTCAGTTCTAGTTCAGTTCTAGTTCAGTTCTAGTTCAGTTCTAGTTCAGTTCTAGTTCAGTTCTAGTTCAGTTCTAGTTCAGTTCTACTTCAGTTCTAGTTCAGTTCTAGTTCAGTTCTAGTTCAGTTCTAGTTCAGTTCTAGTTCAGTTCTAGTTCAGTTCTAGTTCAGTTCTAGTTCAGTTCTAGTTCAGTTCTAGTTCAGTTCTAGTTCAGTTCTAGTCAGTTCTAGTTCAGTTCTAGTTCAGTTCTAGTTCAGTTCTAGTTCAGTTCTAGTTCAGTTCTAGTTCAGTTCTAGTTCAGTTTTAGTTCAGTTCTAGTTCAGTTCTAGTTCAGTTCTAGTTCAGTTTTAGTTCAGTTCTAGTTCAGTTCTAGTTCAGTTCTAGTTCAGTTTCTAGTTCAGTTCTAGTTCAGTTCTAGTTCAGTTCTCAGTTCAGTTCTAGTTCAGTTCTAGTTCAGTTCTAGTTCAGTTCTAGTTCAGTTCTAGTTCAGTTCTCGTTCAGTTCTAGTTCAGTTCTAGTTCAGTTCTAGTTCAGTTCTAGTTCAGTTCTAGTTCAGTTCTAGTTCAGTTCTAGTTCAGTTCTAGTTCAGTTCTAGTTCAGTTCTAGTTCTAGTTCTAGTTCTAGGTAGTTCAGTTCGTTCTAGTTCAGTTCGTGTTCAGTCTAGTTCAGTTCGTGTTCAGTTCTAGTTCAGTTCTAGTACAGCTCTAGTTTTGTTTAGTTCCATTATTGATTTTTTTTAGAGTATAACTAGAAATTATTCACACGACAACAAATTGCTTTTACTATTTAAAACTCCCTAATATAATTATTATACAACTTCCAAGGATATTTTTCTACAAAAATACTTTATTTAGCACACTCTTGAATTTTAAATCCCCATATATCCGTCTATAATTTCCTTAGTAAATACAAATAAACCAACAAACAAACAACTAATGCAAACGGAAGAAACCACTTTCAACAAATGTACTTATCTGATGATTCAGCACTTTCTTTTCAGCTTTTTTCTTATTTTATTTCTTTTTGTTATTATGTTTTAACTGAAAAAAATGCGACTATTTATTTAGCTTTGTCAAGTAATTATGTTTTCTACATTTTTTCGTATTTATTTAGTGAAATAAAAAGGGTTTTGTAGTTTTCTTCATTTTGTATGTCAATGAACAAAAACATAATGAAAACGAAAAAGAAACAACTTTAAAAAGCCATCACCTACAGACCAAAACAAACGTCATATCTCTTGTCCCTGTTTAGTGTATAATGTCTAGTACTTAAGCCATTTATAATTCAAGCATGTTAAAGTAGATGTATCTCATTACCACATAACATTTTTTTAAATTGGAAATACAACCTCTTGCTGCTGTCTGTGACTGACCTTGATGCAACAAAAAGTTGACTAAAGTTATTCTCAATATGAGTGTTCTATTTCTTTTGTATGAAAAACATTTTGAAATGATTTCTGTTTTAAGACTTATTTTTTTTTCTTTTTGTTAGTTAAAAGAGGATTCCAAAGAAGTTATATTTTATCCAATTTGTGTGTTATAGTTGTTGAATAAATCAGTTTATAATATATAGTACACATTTTTGAATTGCTGTAAAAATTATATACATATCTTTACCTTGAATGATGCAAATGTTTAATTAAAATTTTTACGCCTAAATAAAGTTTTGCATTAATTTTATAAAAATATAATTTTATAAAAATATTGCAAATAATAGACATGTAAATTTCTTTAACATAGCTTTTAGTCATTTAGTTTTCTTCCCAATATTACTCTCAAGTTTAAGGAAAAAATGTTAAACTGGTTATCATTAAAGAATATGAAGTATAACAAATCATAATAAACATATTCCAATTTTAAAAATTAAAAAAAAATGTTCGTCCTAATTTCAATTTAATTCGTCAGCTTCTATTATCTTCAGAATTTAAATACTTAAAGTAGTTCAAAAGTATATAATGCCTTAAGTCCAAAGAAATTTGGAACAGATGCTTTCAAAATTTGTTCAATAAGAAAAGATTCAATAAATTATTTTAACTCCAACATTAGTGAACAGAAAAAACACAAATGAATAAAATATCGAATTCCTTAAAAAGTTAAAAAAGAAACAGAACAAAACTACAAATAGAATATCTATTTTAAAACAATAATCAAGCTTTAAAAAAAACACAAAACATAATTAAAAAAATATTGGTTTGTATACCCTACAAATATTATACGGGCATTTGTGCTGATGTTTTGTAACACAAAAATATTCTTTCTCCAAACCACCTTAAAATACAACACTTTATGAAACCATCAAGCCAGAACTGAATTGGAACTAAACTAGAACAGATCTAAAACTGAAATATAATTGAACTGGAACTGGACTAGAACTGAATTAAAACTGAACTAACTGAACTAGAACGAACTAGAACTGAACTAGAAGAACTAGAATGAACTAGAACTGACTAGACTGAATTCTAGACCTAGAACTGACTAGAACTGAACTAGAACTGAACTAGAACTGAACTAGAACTGAACTAGAACTGAACTAGAACTGAACTAGAACTGAACTAGAACTGAACTAGAACTGAACTAGAACTGAACTAGAACTGAACTAGAACTGAACTAGAACTGAACTAGAACTGAAACTAGAACTGAACTAGAACTGAACTAGAACTGAACTAGAACTGAACTAGAACTGAACTAGAACTGAACTAGAACTGAACTAGAACTGAACTAGAACTGAACTAGAACTGAACTAGAACTGAACTAGAACTGAACTAGAACAGAACTGAACTAGAACTGAACTAGAACTGAACTAGAACTGAACTAGAACTGAACTAGAACTGAACTAGAACTGAACTAGAACTGAACTAGAACTGAACTAGAACTGAACTAGAACTGAACTAGAACTGAACTAGAACTGAACTAGAACTGAACTAGAACTGAACTAGAACTGAACTAGAACTGAACTAGAACTAGAAATGAACTAGAACTGAACTAGAACTGAACTAGAACTGAACTAGAACTGAACTAGAACTGAACTAGAACTGAACTAGAACTGAACTAGACTGAACTAGAACTGACTAGAAACTGAACTAGAACTGAACTAGAACTGAACTAGAACTGAACTAGAACTGAACTAGAACTGAAAACTAGAACTGAACTAGAACTGAACTGACTGAACTGAACTAGAACTGAACTAGAACTGAACTAGAACTGAACTAGAACTGAACTAGAACTGAACTAGAACTGAACTAGAACTGAACTAGAACTGAACTAGAACTGAACTAGAACTGAACTAGAACTGAACTAGAACTGACTAGAACTGAACTAGAACTGAACTAGAACTGAACTAGAACTGAACTAGAACTGAACTAGAACTGAACTAGAACTGAACTAGAACTGAACTAGAACTGAACTAGAACTGAACTAGAACTGAACTAGAACTGAACTAGAACTGAACTAGAACTGAACTAGAACTGAACTAGAACTGAACTAGAACTGAACTAGAACTGAACTAGAACTGAACTAGAACTGAACTAGAACTGAACTAGAACTGAACTAGAACTGAACTAGAACTGAACTAGAACTGAACTAGAACTGAACTAGAACTGAACTAGAACTGAACTAGAACTGAACTAGAACTGAACTAGAACTGAACTAGAACTGAACTAGAACTGAACTAGAACTGAACTAGAACTGAACTAGAACTGAACTAGAACTGAACTAGAACTGAACTAGAACTGAACTGAACTAGAACTGAACTAGAACTGAACTAGAACTGAACTAGAACTGAACTAGAACTGAACTAGAACTGACTAGAACTGAACTAGAAAACTAGAACGAACTGAACTAGAACTGAACTAGAACTGAACTAGAACTGAACTAGAACTGAACTAGAACTAAACTAGAACTGAACTAGAACTGAACTGAACTGAACTAGAACTGAACTGAACTGAACTAGAACTGACCTAGAACTGAACTAGAACTGAACTAGAACTGAAATGAACTGAACTAGAACTGAACTAGAACTGAACTAGAACTGAACTAGAACTGAACTAGAAACTGATAGAACTGAACTAGAACTGAACTAGAACTGAACTAGAACTGAACTAGAACTGAACTAGAACTGAACTAGAACTGAACTAGAACTGAACTAGAACTGAACTAGAACTGAACTAGAACTGAACTAGAACTGAACTAGAATGGAACTAGAACTGAACTAGAACTGAACTAGAACTGAACTAAGAACTAGAACTGAACTAGAACTGAACTAGAACTTAACTAGAACTTAACTAGAACTTAACTAGAACTTAACTAGAACTTAACTAGAACTTAACTAGAACTGAACTAGAACTGAACTAAAACTGAACTAGAACTGAACTAAAAATGAACTAACACTGAACTGGAACTATAACATAACAATTCAAAACAAACAGCTACCTTTAAAAATCAATGTATAAAGATCGGTTTATAATTGGCCATATTTAGTTCCGACATATGTATATAAAATCAGCTTTTTAAACAATATATTCATGTAGAGCATTATATAGTCGGCCTCAATCAATTTTAGTTTCTTGTGGATGTTTTTATCTTGATTTTTTATGAAATTTTAATAAAAATTTGTATATATACACACTCACCCATTGTTCTTGTAGTTTTTGTTGTTTTTTATGATTGCTGCAAAAGTACCTCCACACCAACAGAACAGCAACAACAACAATTATAATAAAAATAAAAAATTATGAATGGATGCTTAAGGCTGAATGCTTTTGTAGTTGTTGTTGGTGTTTAAATATATATGTTGGTTTTTGATGATATATTTCCAGACCCACCGGAAGCTATTCTGCTGCTTAGTCAGTCGTCAAGTTTTCAGTTTCTGCTGCTGCGTTCAACTACTGTTGCGTTGCAAATGTTGTTCTTAAAATCACAAATATGTTGATATTCTTCACCACCACCACCACCATCAGCACCAACTCACCTCATCTGTTTACTTCATCAACAAACTGAACGAGGAGTTCCAAAAAAATAAAAACACTTGCACGACAACAAAAACAACAAATGCGGTCTTGAATTTGTTCATTAAAATCTGCTCTCTTTTTAAAACATTATTGCTCTTTTTTAACATTTGTTTTATTTTGTTTTCTTTTTTAATACCCAGCTTATACAAACATACGCACAAATACACTCATTTAAAATACTTTCTTTGTGTTTTTGCAAAAAAACATAAAGTAAAAAAAACCAAAAAAGAACAAACACAACTTTCTAAGAATTTATATGTTTGATAGAATAATTTATTAATCTATTTGTTAACTGACGTTTTATATTTATTATTCACTTATTTCCTTTTTTTCTATTTATCACTTAAATTAAAATTTATTTAAATTCAATTCACATACAAGATTTTTCATTTGATACACAAAAAATTATTTTTTCCAATAGGACCGACCGAACGAATGACAGAGTAGACAAAATATTTAACAGCAGCAGCAAGAATGAATGAAAAGAAAGTCAATTTTGATTTGTGCTTATCCGGCAGTTTCTTTTTTTAATAGAATTTATTATTTGTAAATTATTAAAAAGAACAAAAACACTTTTTGTATGTTAACTGTTTTTCTTTTTCCTTATTTTCCTAATTTATTGTTAAGATTTTTTAATTTACTGCATTTTTACTACAAACTTTTCCGCACACAACAACATCTAATCTCAACATGGCGACTCTGACTGAGACTGAGAGAGTTTTTTTTTTGCTGTTCTTTCACAAAAACAATGTTAAAGCAAGTGTCAAAATAGCCTACGCAAGCAAAGCAAGTGTCACAATAAGAATTTTTTTTAGTTTGTTTAGAAAGTGTTAGTTAAAAGGAAACAAATAACAAACAAAGCAACACTGTTGCCAATATATCAACAAAAACATTCCATCAAATAATAAAAATACAGTGAAATTGTGTTATAACGAACTCGTTACCTTCTTTTATTAAAAATAATAAGTCGGAATCAGAGATACAAGCCGATGGGGAATGATCGGCGGCGGCGGCGCAACCATTTTGGATCGGCGGCGGCGGCTTATTACAGAAAATATCGGCGGCGGCTAAATTGTCGGCTCAATATAACTTTTTCTTTAGAAATTGACCTTATAAGGTTTATTATATTGAAAAATCTTTGTATAATAGTCTGTTACATAGAAACCTGTCTCTATATAAGTTTTTTCCTGCAGAAAATGGACATTTATAGTAGTTTTCACTATTTTAATATTAGCACAATATTGTGTGGCAACTCTTTTCAATTTGCCATAAGAATTTAAAATAGTGGCAACTCCGTTCAATCTGGTGAAATTATGTTCTGAAATACATGTGTGATTCTAATCTTTATCAGCGGCTACGTTTAAGCCGGCTTAGCTTTTGAGCCGAAAGAAGTCGGCGGCGGCGCGGCTTGCAAAATATTACCGGCGGCCAGCCGCCGCCGATTTGAGCCGTTTAGAATAATAGAAGAATAAGTAGAATTATATAAAAGGGTTTCATAAAGTGTCTTAAAACTAAGCGAAGAGTTATCTTATTGTTGGAAATGTCGGTAAACCGACTAGTTGAAAAAAAAAACGTCGTCTTTTCGACTTTGCCTATTATGAAAAATTGACATTCCGTTCTGTTATTGAAACAGTTGACATTTTTAATTTTCATTAATCAGTCAAAACGGAATCTCTTCGACTCTACTTGACAGTTCGCGTGGAATTTTTTTAACTAATATTAGCTAATAAGTCGGAATAAGTAGAATTATATAAAAGGGTTTCATAAATTGACTTAAAACTAAGCGAAGAGTTATCTTATCGTCGGAAATATCGGTAAACCGACTAGTTGAAAAAAAAAAACGTGGTCTTTTCGACTTTGCCTATTATGAAAAGTTGACATTCCGTTCTGTTTTTGAAACAGTTAACATTTTTAACTCTCATTAATCAGTCAAAACGGAATCTCTTCGACTCTACTTGACAGTTCGCGTGCAGTGAACTACCACGTTAACCAAACTCTCATTAATAATTGAATGGTTTTAATTTAGTTTTTAAATTTTCTGTCGAATTTTTACTTTTTGACTGTTTTTATTTCCAAAGTCGTCTTCTTCCTACATGACAGTTAATTTAACGGTATTTTTTTTTTAAATAGTTTTCATAACAAAAGTTAGTAAAAGCATTTCTTCCACTTTTTTCGAAAAACTAGTAATATGTAATTCGAAATTGTATTAAGTTCATTATAACTTTGTTTTACTGTATAATAAAATGCAATATTTAAAATTCTAACCAAAGATGGCAGCACTTAATTTTTAGTAGTGTTGGCTAGGTGACAGTGTTGAAAAACGTCGCATAATGTCGCAAAAAGTTTGATTCGCGATAGGAATGATTATATACGATTTTTTTTTTAATAAAAGTTATTAAAATTCAAAAAAATTGAATCGTACTTTCAGACTGAAACTTTTAGTAACATTTTCTAGAAATTAAAAACAAGAATATTTTTTTACAATTTTTATTTATTTTTTATTTGAGTTTTCCATTTTTGTAGTCAATTACTATTTTCTAGTAATGTACATATACATGTATGTATGTAATATTAACTTTAAAAAAATTTAATATAATTAAAATATTACAATCCTTACAAATCATTTTACAAGTTGTTCTTTTCTCAACAAGAGGAAAATTTTTCAAAAATTCAAAAACTTTTCAAAACCGTTTAAATAATAATCTCTAAATCATGGGGATTAATAAAAGTAAAATATACGCGCAATTTCTCACATTTTTCAATTATGAATTCAAAAATTTTTTTCGATTTAAAACTCAATATTTTCCGTTGGGGTGAAATTTTTATTAAAATTAACAAAAACTCGAACTTCGAAAAACTTTTAAAATTCGATCGTATGTTTGAAAAAGTTCTGAAACTGTTAAAATAACCTTTTAATCATGAGGATTCATAAAAATACAATTTTGCTTTAATTCGAGGACAATTCCTTGCACTTTTTTAATTTCGAAATTGAAAATTTTGAAGATATTTTTAAAAATTTTCATGAATTTTGAACGTGGTTTTAGAATATAAAACTTTAAAAATCGGACTAGCGTTAAGAGAAATCTTTTATGAAATTGTTTGATAAGACTTCGAAAATTCGAACTTATGTTCGAAAAAATTTTAAAACTGTTAAAATAACCTTTAAAGCATGAGGATTCATAAAAATTTAATTTTATTTTGATTTGACAACAATTCCTTACACTTTTTCAATTTCGAGCTTGAAAATTTTGAAAATATTTTTTATAATTTTCATGAATTTTAATGTATTTTCAGAATATAAGCTGTTTTAATCAAAAAAAGTAAATTTTCGGAGAATCTTAAAAATTTTGGCAAATTCGAACTTATGTTCGAATAGGTTATAAAATAGTTAAATAGCCTCTAAATCTTGAGGTTATAAAAAACAAATAATTTTAGTTTGATTTTTCAAATCAGATCTTAACTTAAACATTTTAAAATTTCAAACTTAAAAATTTTGAAAATATTTTTAAAATTTTCAGAAATTTTGTAGTATTTGGAATATGGTTTCAGAACACAAGCTTTCTATAGTGCATTTATGTGCTTAATTTTTTTGAGATTCTTAAAAAAAATCGATTTGATTTTTCGAAAATTCGAACTTATGTTCGAAAAAGTTTTAAAACTGTTAAAATATCGTGTAAATCATGAGAATTTGTAAAAATATAGTTTTAGTTTGATTTGTGGTTAATTTCCTGCACTATTTTCATTTTCGAATTTAAAAATTTGGAATTTTTTTTTAATATTTTCACGAATTTTTTAGTATATTGAATATGGTTTCAGAATATAAACTTTTCAATCAATCTGGTTAGTGCTAAGAGAGATATTGGCAGAGACTTTTTATAATATGTACATATTTTGAAAAATCGATATTATGTTCGAAAAATTTTAAAACTGTTAAAATAACCTCTAAATATTGAATTTTCATAAAAATATAATTTTAGATTAATTTGAGTCCAATTTCTTAAACCTTTTTCAATTTCGAACTTAAAAATTGTCAAAAATTGTTTTACGAAAATTCGAAATTATGTTCGAAAAATTTTTAAATTTTAAAAATAACCTCTAAATTTTGAATTTTCATAAAAATATCATTTTAGATTAATTGGAGTTCAATTTCTTAAACTTTTTTCAATATCGAACTTAAAATTTTTTTCGAAAATTCGAACTTATGTTTGAAAAAGTTTAAAAACAGTTAAAATATCCCGCAAATCATAATGTTTATAAAAATATAGTTTTAATTAGATTTAAGTCCAATTTTTTGTACTTTTTTTTCAATTTCGAACTTAAAAATTTTGCAAAATTTTCAAATTTTTTTTTTTTTTCGAAAATTCGAACTTATGTTTTAAAACGGTTAAAATATCGTGAAAATCATGAGGATTTATAAAAATATAGTTTTATTTTAATTTGAATCCAATTTTTAGTACTTTTTTCAACATTAAACTTAAAAGTTTTTTAAATATTTTTTCGGAATTTCTTAAAAACAATTTGAAAATTCCAACTTATGTTGGGAAAATTTTAAAACTGTTAAAAAGAATCTGTAAATCATAAGGATTCAAAAACAAATGTTTAATTTGAGGATCAATTCTAAAACATTTTCAAATTTCGAACAAATTTCGAAAATAATTATATTTGAAAAAATCAAATTTTTATGATGCAAAATTCCTCCATTCTTTTTAAAACTTAAAAAAAAAACTAAACAATTTTTAAAATTTTATTTAGATTTATTTCATCAATGTTTAGAGAAAATGAGAGTGTGGGAAAGAGAACGGTTTGGTCTTAAAAATTTTGTTGAAATGTTAAAGATTTATTTTCTTTTATATAGTTGTTGTACACAATTTAAACTAAATAAAATACATGCAATGTTTGTTTTTGTTTTTTAACTCTAAACATGGTTATGTGGTGTTTGGTTTATTATTATTATATATTTTTTTTTTGTAAAAGAAAAAGGGGGAATTGTAGTTTTTTTTCTGCTTCTTTCTATTAAATACACAATACATACTTTTGTTATTTGTTGTTACTGCTATTGTTGTTGGTTTTTCTTTTATATACTATAATATTTTCATATACTGTTCCGAAAAAACAAAAGATAATTGTGTCTGTGGTGTGTTGTTTTTGTAAATATTTCTATTCTTGTTTTTGTTTTTTTGTTATAATTGTAAATGAAATCCTTTATTTTATAATATATAATATATTTTGTTTTTGTTTTACTTAAAAAGTGGTGTTTTGGGTATTTTAAAGTTTAACTGTTAAATTTTCTCTTAATTTTTCTTTTTAGACTTAAATATTAATTTGATTTTGTTTCAGCTTTTCTTATACGAAAAATAAAACTTGCAAATGTTTTTTCTCTTTTTATAATTGTTTTGTATAAAGTAAAATTATGATGCATTAATATAAAAACGACGATGTATATAAAGATTTAATAAAAAAAAAAAAACACATGGAAAATAACGGGATGATTAACCGAGAATTTGTTGAAGTTCATGGCTTTAACCCTCATGCTTTCTTTTCTTACCCCTTGCCTGGGTTTCTTCGGCTAGAAAAAAAAAAACAGACATTAAAAGTATTAATTAATAAAACTTGTTTAAAAATTTAATTGTTGTTACCATTAGCATTGCCCTCGCCACCATCTTTATCAGCATTTGCTGCTACAGCTGAATCATTGGCCTCATCCTCATCACTATCTTCATCTTCATCATCATCATTTTCAGCGGCATTTTCTTCATCCCATTCATCTTCATCCTCCTCTAAATCATCATTGTAAACCTTTAATAAATTTGCAAAACAAAAGTCCATTAACATTCCTTTAAAATTATCCATAAAGTAAGAAAGAAAACAACAAACACAACTTACCTCAGATAATGAAACATCATTATCCTCATCATCGCTACTGCCATACATTTCACTATCATTTTCTTCATCACTTTCATTGTCATCTGATGTTGCCAGGAGGTTAAGATTGAAAAAAAAAAAGAAAAAGAAAACAAAAAAGAAATGTATTTGATTAATTTAAGACTGTTAAAGCTATTTGGAATAATGCTTACGATTACTAAATGTGGCACTGGCTAAATTTAAAATAGCTAAAAACCAATATAATAAAAGAGCAAAATTTGCCGACGTTCCTACATTGTCCGACGAATTCAATGTGGCAGTAGTAGTAGTCTCTTTTTCATTTTCCTGTTCTTTTAATTTTAAAGTTTTTAAATATTCATCTAGTTCATCAACTTCTGCCTCCTCAACAGCTGCACCACTGTTGTCAGTCTTATTGACTGTTGATTGCTCATTTGCAGTACAATTATTTTCTTGTTGCTGCTTTAATTTTGCTTCACGTTTGGCTTTGATACGTTTTTCAAATTCTTCTAATTCATCCAAATCAATTTCTAAACCATTCAAAGTGAATGCATTTTGTTTGTCTGAAATACATTGTTGTTGTATGTGAAAAATATTGTTTGTCCGTTTCAGCCGTTTGTGTTAATCAGCAAAAATGGGAATTTTTAAAACATGTTCAAAGTTTGTTTTTAAAGAAACATAATTGCAACATTTTTGTTTATGAAAGTATAATATTAATGGTTTCATGAATGGTTTTTATAAAAATTATGAAATGACATTCTATTTTTATCATATGTATTTGTCCAATACCCTATTTTCTAGTGTAATACCTTTTTTTTCTTAATATTTAAATTGCAATATCTGTTAATGATTGAAATGAATAATTAAAATTCAAAACTTACCTTCATCATTATCATAATAATTTAAATTGTCTTCCTCGTCATCACCTTCTGAAGGCGCCTCTACATCATTACAATCAAACCTAAAATAAATGTAAAATTAAGTTAGGATAGGAAAACATTTATTGTTCAGTTCTAGTTCAATTCCTGTTCAGTTCTAGTTCTAATTCAGTTTTATTACAGTTCTAGTACAGTGATATTTCAGTTCTAGTTCAGTTCTTGTTCTGTTCTAGTTCAGTTCTTGTTCAGTACTAGTTCAGTTCCAGTTCAGTTCTAGTTCAGTCCTAGTTCAGTTCTATTTCAGTTCTATTTCAGTTCTATTAGAGTTCTAGTTCAGTTCCAGTTCAGTTCTAGTTCAGTTCTAGTTCAGTTCTAGTTCAGTTCTAGTTCAGTTCTAGTTCAGTTCTAGTTCAGTTCTAGTTCAGTTCTAGTTCAGTTCTAGTTCAGTTCTTGTTCAGTTCTCGTTTAGTTCTAGTTCAGTTCTAGTTCAGTTCTAGTAGTTCTAGTTCAGTTCTAGTTCAGTTCTAGTTCAGTTCTAGTTCAGTTCTAGTTCAGTTCTAGTTCAGTTCTAGTTCAGTTCTAGTTCAGTTTTAGTTTAGTTCTTGTTCAGTACTAGTTCAGTTCCAGTTCAGTTCTAGTTCAGTCCTAGTTCAGTTCTAGTTCAGTTCTATTTCAGTTCTATTTCAGTTCTAGTTCAGTTCTAGTTCAGTTCTATTACAGTTCTAGTTCAGTTCCAGTTCAGTTCTAGTTCAGTTCTAGTTCAGTTCTAGTTCAGTTCTAGTTCAGTTCTAGTTCAGTTCTAGTTCAGTTCTAGTTCAGTTCTAGTTCAGTTCTATTTCAGTTCTAGTTCAGTTCTAGTTCAGTTCTAGTTCAGTTCTAGTTCAGTTCTAGTTCAGTTCTAGTTCAGTTCTATTTCAGTTCTAGTCCAGTTCTAGTTCAGTTCTAGTTCAATTCTAGTTCAGTTCTAGTTCAGTTCTTGTTCAGTTCTAGTTCAGTTCTAGTTCAGTTCTAGTTCAGTTCTAGTTCAGTTCTTGTTCAGTTCTCGTTTAGTTCTAGTTCAGTTCTAGTTCAGTTCTAGTTCAGTTCTAGTTCAGTTCTAGTCCAGTTCTAGTTCAGTTCTAGTTCAATTCTAGTTCAGTTCTAGTTCAGTTCTAGTTCAGTTCTAGTTCAGTTCTAGTTCAGTTCTAGTTCAGTTCTAGTTCAGTTCTTGTTCAGTTCTCGTTTAGTTCTAGTTCAGTTCTAGTTCAGTTCTAGTTCAGTTCTAGTTCAGTTCTAGTTCAGTTTTAGTTTAGTTCTAGTTCAGTTCTTGTTCAGTACTAGTTCAGTTCCAGTTCAGTTCTAATTCAGTCCTAGTTCAGTTCTAGTTCAGTTCTATTTCAGTTCTATTTCAGTTCTAGTTCAGTTCTAGTTCAGTTCTATTACAGTTCTATTACAGTTCTAGTTCAGTTCCAGTTCAGTTCTAGTTCAGTTCTAGTTCAGTTCTAGTTCAGTTCTAGTTCAGTTCTAGTTCAGTCAGTTCAGTTCTAGTTCAGTTCTAGTTCAGTTCTAGTTCAGTTCTAGTTCAGTTCTAGTTCAGTTCTAGTTCAGTTCTAGTTCAGTTCTAGTTCAGTTCTAGTTCAGTTCTAGTTCAGTTCTAGTTCAGTTCTAGTTCAGTTCTAGTTCAGTTCTAGTTCAGTTCTAGTTCAGTTCTAGTTCAGTTCTAGTTCAGTTCTAGTTCAGTTCTAGTTCAGTTCTATTTCAGTTCTAGTCCAGTTCTAGTTCAGTTCTAGTTCAATTCTAGTTTAGTTCTAGTTCAGTTCTTGTTCAGTTCTAGTTCAGTTCTAGTTCAGTTCTAGTTCAGTTCTAGTTCAGTTCTAGTTCAGTTCTAGTTCAGTTCTAGTTCAGTTCCAATACAGTTCTAGTTTAGTTCTAATTCAATTCTAGTTCATTTCTAGTCCAGTTCTATTTAAATCCTAATTTCGGTTTTAGTTCAGTTCTAGTTCAGTTTAATTTAATTTCTAATTCCGGGCAGATTTAGTTCGACTTACCCATCTAAAAATCTTAATGAAGGCAACATTTCGAAAATTTTCTCACGATAATTTTCAATTTGTGTTGCTTCATTATTAAATAAATCCAATATGGCTAAATGTTTAAATTCTTCCAAGGGTTTTAAGGCTTCTAAATCTTTGATTTTATTACCGGATAAATTTAAATATTGTAATTTTGGGCTAGTATGCAAATAATTGAGGCCATTTGATATTCTGTAATAATAAAATATAAGTATATTAATAAAGAAAATTTAGGATAGGCTATTTAACTATGTATGTATTAGTTACCTGTTATCTGATAATTCCAGTTTCTTTAAATTGGGCAATTTGGGAAAACCTTTTAATGTTGTAAGGCCAACATTAATTAGACTTAGAGATTCCAACGCCGTATATTCATCGGTAAGGCCAACAATGCTTGTACTTCGGCAATTGTCCAAATTTAATTCTGTAATCTAGAATTATAATAAAAAGAAGTTTGTTTATAAAATAGAATATTAGAAATTTTGTTTCTGTTGAACAGTGTCATGTAGTAGAAAAAAACAGCTTGAAATGAACTGAAGCGATCTAAAAGTGATCTAGAACTAAGCAAGTACTAAAATATATCTGAACTAGAATTGAAATTTCCGTCGCTATTGTTCCCACATAAACATTTTATTTTCCATCCCTGTATTAAGTAGGGTTCTATAAATCGACTTTCGAATAATCGAACAATCGACTTTTTGTCGAAAAAAGTCGAAGTCGACTATTTTGTTCCAAAAAAGTCGATAACTCGACTATCGTCTATGAAAAAAGTCGAAAAGTCGACTTTGTAAATAAAAGTCGAAAAAAGTCGAAAAGTCGGAAAGTCGAAAAGTCGAAAAAAGTCGAAAAGTCGGAAAAAGTCGAAAAGTCGAAAGTCGAAAATAGTCGAAAATTTTAAAAAAGTGGAAAAGAGGTCAAAAACTCTAAAATAGTCGGAAAAACTCGAAAAAAGTAAAAAAATAGTCGAAAAAAGTCGAAAATAGTCAAAAAGTCGTAAAAAATCGAAAAGTCGGAAAAAGTCGAAAAAAGTCGAAAAAAGTCGAAAAGTCGAAAAGTCGAAAAAAGTCGGAAAAAGTCGAAAAAGGTCGAAAAGTCGAAAAATCGACTTTTCATAAAATGGAAAAAGTCGAAAGGTCGAAAAGTCGAAAAATCGACTTTTCATAAAATGGAAAAAGTCGAAAGGTCGAAAAGTCGACTTTTAACTAAATGCAAAAAGTCGACTTTTCGTTTCAACTATAGAACCCTAGTATTAAGTTGTCTAGACTAAAAGTTGGCAACACTTTTTTTATAGAAATTAATTTCAAAAAATATTCCGTTAAATTGTAGTTTATCTTTTCCTATACATAATGCTCAAAGTTAAGGTCAAAGGGTTATCATGAAAATTATGCTATGATCAAGATTGTTATAGGAAATTAATCAAGATAGAACATTATCCCATGAACTCAATAACAAAAGATTGTAAAAGAGTAGTAGGCTAAATGAACTTTTACAAAATCAATAATTGGGAGTACAGACAATGTGTTGAAAAGAAAAGATAAACCTATAGGCCAAAATATTGGGAAAGGGGTACGAGTGACACTTTTTTTTTTGCAAAAAGCCAAGGAGTACTAGTGACACTCATATAAAAGAAACAACAACAACAACAACGAAGATGCACAAGAATGCATTTACCAAGATGGAAAGAAACGAATGCAATTTTAAAACAAAATGGCACTAATAATAAAACAGCTGCTGTTGCTAAAAGGGAATCAAATGGAATTGAAACAAAACAAAATAGAAATTTTACCACCTTGTTGCTCACTCATTTTGTTTTATGCTTTTTTTCTGTAGGTAGAGATAACAAAAAAAAAAGGAGAAACATGAAAGAAAAAAAAAAAAAAAACAAAAACTGAACATAAACCAAAGTGTGAAAGAAAGATAAAACTAGTCGCATTTTAGCAAGCGTTCATATAACAGCCGCCATATTGCGTGTTGTCATCAAAACAACAGCAGCAGCAGTGTGAACGAATGTGTGTGATAAAAAAAAAGAGAAAAAAAATTTACTTTTTTTTTTGGAAAATATGGAAGTAATTGTTGAAAATTTAAAAAGCTATGTTCTTTTAAAGAAATGGAAAATTGTGTAAAAATGTATGTTTTCTTTAAGATGAAACTAATTTCAGCTGGAAAAAACTTTTTTGCTCAAAAATTATGATGTAATCGAAGAAAAGCAGAAATGAAAAGAATAAAATGTCAAAATTCTTTTACACATACACACAACTTGTTTACATATTCATAAAATGGGAATTAAGTGGAATTGAAACATCTTGTTGGACTAAGAAAAACGATAGAAAAGAATGAAGAGCAAAACAAAAAGTTTGTAAATTTAATACAAACACACATACATACTTGCAAAAAAAAAATGCCGCTAAATGATGGGGGATTTTTTCTTGTTGTTTCTTGCAACAACAAAGACAAAATTTGTTAGAACAAAAATTACCCTAAAATTATAAGAAAAAAGTCACCCAATATGACAGTGGTTATGGTTTTCAAAGTTTTATTAAAAAAGAACTTTGTTCACATTTAAAATTGTGGTAATTTCCTCTATTCAATTTCAATTGCGGTAGATAAGTTATATTTTAAATTAAACTGATAACATTTATTTTGCATAATTCAGTTTCATTTTCATTTTCAATAACAATTTTAATGAAATTGAAACACTACCTATAGTATAATAAAACAACAATTTGCGCATTTGGTTCCACTATAAATGGTAAAAAGTTGAGATGAATTAAGTGTGTGTTTGCGTATGTGTGTATATTTTCTGCATGCATGTACACAAATCTATATGTATGGATGTGCATATGTATAACATATTGACATATATTTGGACCATAGCTAAAGGACCGACCGATCTTAAATTTGTTATATAAATTGAAAATATTATGTAGTTTAGTTGTAAACAAATGTGGTCCAAATTATGTTAGATAAAAAAAAAATCGTATTAAAGACTTATTAATTTACTTGCTGTGGGAGTGTTGCCGGATAACTTGTTGATGTTATTCTTATAAAATTAAACGAAATCGCCAAAAACCTCTAGGCATAAACTTTATACTTAACGTGACCATATACAGCTGTGTTCAAAAAAATAGGAGTGAGACTTAAAAATAATTGTGCAAAAATTAACAGAAATCCAATATTTGTTCACGATATTTGTTTGTTAAGTGTTCAAAATACAAAACGAATGAAATTTTTTATATAGGTTCATTAGTTTTTTTGGTATTCACTTTTTTCGAAATCCATATCAGATTTCGGCTGCTCAAAAAAATAGGAGTACCGTATATTATATAACCTAAGTTCGATTAATTTCCATTATTTGTAGTAAATATTAAAAATATAATATAAAACTGTTATATTTAGATGATTTTAAGTAATTTTAAGCTCAGTTCACAATTATTTCATTTAAAATCCTGAAAGAAAATGTCAAAATTGACGAAAATGAAAAAATCTGTTCAAATATCTTGAAAATTATGAAAATATCGCGAAAAAAAATATGGAAAATCTCATGGTAATTTCATTAAAAGATTTTTTTAATACTTTAGGAAGTCAAATGTTTCAAAATCTCTCATAAAAAATAAACATTTTAATCAAATATGATAAGCGCTTCCCATAAGCGCTTATCATTTTTTTAAAATTAATCGGATTAGTGAAACTAAGTCAAATTGTAGTTATTAAACATCGTGATCAATATTCAGTTAGTTCAGATCAATTTTTAAATAAATCTTTTTTGAAAAAATTTAATTTCAGACCATAAAGCATATAGTAAAACCCATAAAGTTTACTAAGTAACGCATTTAGAGGTGGTTTCATACATGGATGAATTTTTAATGCATGAATACGACAACAAATTACAACCATTACATGGTTGTCGACATATTGATTCTAAAGCAAAACGTTGAAAGACTTTGTATATAACGTCTTTTAAGGTTTTCTGAATAAATAACTGATATTTGTGGATAATCGGCCACGACATGTGTCATCAAGCCCCTCACAACCGTTGTCGGAAAGACATTAAGATCCGGAGGCTCATATAACCAAATTCTAAATAAAATCTTTACAAAAATGACTGATGCTGTACTGGCACACATTAATTAATAATATTTTAGATGAAATTCCTTCGTTTTTGTTTTTATTTTAAAAATATTTGAACTTAAATCGAATACTCCCTCCTATTATTTTGAACAACAGATTTTGTATATAAATTAAAAAAATATATATATTTTTTAAATAAATTTCTTAAATATTTAAAATAACGATTATAAAAATTAGAGAACGAGTTATATAAATAAATTTTAAAATTATTTAATTAAAAATCTAAATCTTTCACTAAAAAGTTTATATTTAAAATTTTTGAAATTTTCACTCCTATTATTTTGAACGCAACTGTAGATAGGGTTCTAAAGTTGAAACAAGTTGACTCTTCACAATTTATAAAAAAATTGAAATTGTAGACTTTTCGAACATATTTATATATCGACCTTTTTTCTGATCTTCGTTTTTTTCAAATAATATTTCAATATCAACTTTATCAACAAAATAGAATTAATCGACTTTTTTTTTAGAAGATAGTTGACTTTGTTAGGACAAAAAAGTCGACTTCGACACCAAAGTTCATTGTTCGAAAATCTTATGTTCTATAAATTTTGGATTTCCATTTACAAAATCGATTGTTTGACGTTTTTCTTACGACTTATAGAATCTCAGCCATCAGACACCCAAAAGTAATTAAGTTTCTATAGCGGAATATATTAAGTTTCTATATTTATGAAAAGAAGACTTTTCAACTTTCAATTTATGGAATGCAATTTTTTTTTGGACTTTTTAAAATTTTGAAAATATGTAATCAGACATATGGGATCCTGAGTGAACTTTTTGGTATTTTTTTTTTCTTCAAATTGCGCTTTTTGAATATTTTACAATATTGAACCTAGAAACGCAAGGTTAAACACGCGGCATACTGATTAAATAAAAATCTATAAAAGGCGACTTTCTGGTACATCGCTCAATTGGTACCGTTTTGATTTTTTTTAAATTTTTAAACACTTGAAGGGTATATAAGGTTTGGGACATCCGAATATAGAACTCTTACTTATTTTAACATCGACTTTTCAGATTTTTTCAACTTCTTCGACTTTCCGACAAAACTGTCGATTTCAACTAACACTTTTTTCGACAAAAATCCTATTTATAGAGCCACACCTACCAAACACCATTTAGGCGTATGTTAGAATTTTGAAATTTAATACTTTTCGAAATTTTTTAATATAAACTTTTCGATTTTAATTTATAAAGTCGTTTTTTGCCTTTTTCCCTACAAAATAGTCGATTACCGACTTTTTTGACTTTTCGACAAAAAACCGAATAATTAACATGAAAATTTGGAAATTATATGTAA